GCCTGTAATCCCAGCACTGGAGAAACCGAAAATAGGAGGATCAGTATGACTCCCAGCTGTGTAGTGAGTGAGACCCTGTACCAAATACATAAAAACATTTTTTTATTGAAAAAGATTTTAACCTTTTTTATTTCAAAAACTGAAAATACTTGAGTCTCTGATCTCAACTGAGTATAAAGGGTTTAAATAGCTAAATGTAATATCTAAGTCAACATCTAAATTAGTAAGTCAGTATCTTAACAGTATTTATATTTCAGATTCAGATATTTCATGTTTAGGAATCTCTCTAGTAGAATAATTGATGTTTACAAAGGGTTTGAAAAATGTGGGGACCAGAAGACAGCAGTTCTGCTGGACTGTGGTTTGGTAAGAGAAACCACTTCCACTCACTGTCAGTCCTGTTGTACTTAGCCAGGAATACAGAAGAATTTTGGAAGTGGCCACCGAGCGCAGGAACAGATGCGTCACGTAGCACACAGCTTCCGGCTTGGAGTTCATACTGGCGTTCATTCAGCATCTGTGCTTTGTGCTCCCACTTGACAGTATTAACATACAAGAAGCTTTCAGAAACCAGCACAGTTGGGCGTCTTCAGCGTCCGGGCAGCGCGAGCGCCCATTCCTGCGCCGCCAGACACACTGAGTGGGCTGCTGTCTCTGGCAGCATTGTATGCAGAGAAAGGAAGGAAGGGAAGACTTAGTTCATTGAAAAGGAAGGTTTGTGCTAATAGTGTTTGGACAATTAAATGCTGATATTTTGTACTCTGAGTAAAGATAACAATATGCAGTGCACCTTATTGTTACTCTATTAGCTTGCTTTAAAAGTTTCTTCTCTCTAAAATAAAAAGATTATAAGAGAAAATAAAAAAAGTTAGGGATGAAGGAGAATGTGAATTGAAAAAGTGGGACATAAATTTTATGTAAATTGTGATCTCATTTCTGTAAATATGTGAAAAAAAGATGGATAGTAAATTTTTAATCAGTAAAAAAAATAATAATAATTATTAACATCAAGGCCCACTACAGCAGCAGCAGCTGGGGTAGCCGTTCATCAGTCAGTTCAGACTACTCAATTCATGCAGACATGGCAGGAACATTCTGATTGATTATGGCAAAGTCAACATTCTGTAGATGAAAAGTTGGTAGGGGCCAGGGATATGGCTTGGTAGAATAAGTGCTTGCCTGGCAAGCGCAAGTTGGTGACTCAGATAGCAGACTTGCAAGAAGTGGGGTTCTGTTGGGAGATCAATTCTTTTTTTTTTTAATTTTTAATTTTTTTTTTTTTTTCAGAACTGGGGATTGAACTCAGGCCCTTGCGCTTGCCAGGCAAGTTCTTATTCTACTGAGCTATCTCCCCAGCCCCAATGAGTTTTGAAAAGTAGTATAGCTTAAATGTAATTAAAATAGCTCTTTTTGGAGCTGGGGAGATGGCTCAGTAGAATAAGCACTTGCCTGGCAAGCACAAGGGCCTGAATTCAATCCCTGGTTCCACCAAAAAAAGAAAAAAAAGAAAGGTACTTGGGACTAGGTTGTGTTCTCTAACATAGCTCTGCTTTTTTGAGTTACTCCTCATTGTTATAATAATACACTTTTCCAGGGGTGGGGAGATGGCTCAGTAGAATAAACACTTGCCTGGCAAGCTCAAGGGCTTGAGTTCAATCCCCACGACTGAAAAAAAA